AAAAAAGGCCAGGTGCAGTGGCTCACACCTGTAATCCCAGCACTTTGGGAGGCTGAGGCGGGTAGATCACCTGAGGTCAGGAGTTCGAGACCAGCCCGACCAACATGGAGAAACACTGTCCCTATTAAAAGTGCAAAATTAGCTGGGTGTGGTGTTGCATGACTGAAATCCCAGCTACTTGGGAGGCTGAGGCAGGAGAATGGCTTGAATCTGGGAGGCTGATGTTGTTGTGAACTGAGATCACGTCATCGCACTCCAGCCTGGGCAACAAGAGCAAAACTCCGCCTCAAACAAAGAAACAAAGAAAAAACAAAACAAAAAAACAAAGAAACAAAGAAAAAACAAAACAAAAAAACCACAGTGTAACATGTTATTATAAAGACAGTGCTCAGGGACCAATTTTGCTGCTCCTGCGCCTCACTGTTTTTTAGAGTTTTACATCTTAAGTACAGGAGTCAACAAACTAGGCCTCTGCACCACATCTGGTAGCCAGGCTTTATTTATTTATTTTTTGAGATGGTATCTCAGTCTGCCACCCAGGCTGCAGTGCGGTAGCATGATCTTGGCTCACTGCAACCTCCGCCTCCTGGATTCAAGCAATTCTCCTGTCTCAGCCTCCTGAGTAGCTGGGATTACAGGTGCGTGCCACCAAGCCTGGCTAATTTTTGTATTTTTGGTAGAGATGGGCGTTGGCCTCTCAAAGTGCTGGGATTACAGGCATGAGCCATGATGCCTGACCCAGCCTTTTTTAAAATGAGGGTTTCAGCTGGTGCGGTGGCTCACGTCTGTAATCCCAGCACTTTGGGAGGCCAAGGCTGGTGGATCACCTGAGGTCAGGAGTTCGAGACTAGCCTGGCCAACGTGGTGAAACCCCATCTGTACCAAAATACAAAAATTAGCCAGGCGTGATGGCAGGCACATGTAGTGCCAGCTACTTGGGAGGCTGAGGCAGGAGAATCACTTGAACCGGGGAGGCGGAGGTTGCAGTGAGCCAAGATTGCACAATTGCACTCCAGCCTGGGCGACGATAGCGAAACTCCATCTAAAAAAAAAAAAAAGATGTCCTTTTTTGTCTCTCAATCTCATTTTTTATTTTTTTTAAATTTTCAGACAGGGTCTCACTCTGATGCCCAGGGTAGAGTGCAGGGGCCCAATCTCTTAGCTCACTGCAGCCTCAACCTCCCAGTTCACATGATCCTCCCACCTCAGCCTCCCAAATAGCTGGGAACACAGATGGGTACCACCATGCCCGCCTAATTTTTGTATTTTTTGTAGAGATGGGATTATGCCATGTTGCTCAGGCTGATCTGAAACTTCTGGCCTCTCTGCCTCCACCTCCAAAAGTGCTGGGATTACAGGCGTGAGCTACCATGCCCAGCCCTGCTTCAATTTAAAGTGTATTACATATTAGTACAGCCACTTCAGCTCTTTTTTGGTTACTGTTTTAATGTTGTATGTTTGTATCCTTTTCCTTTTTTATTTTTTGACACAGAGTTTTGCTCGTCACCCAGGCTGGAGTCCTATGGTGCGATCTCAGCTCACTGCAACCTCTGCCTCCTGGGTTCAAGCGATTCTCCAGCCTCAGCCTCCTGAGTAGCTGGGATTACAGGCGCGTGCCACCAGGTCTGGCTAATTTTTGTATTTTCAGTAGAGGTGGGGGTTTCTTCATGTTGGTCAGGCTGGTCTAGAACTCCTGACCTCAGGTTATCCACTGCCTGGGCCTCCCAAAGTGCTGGGATTACAGGTGTAAGCCACTGCGCCCGGCCAAAGTGGTGGATTTTTTTCCTCAGAAAATCCATACCATTATTTTTCCAGAAATCAAATTTGTACAAGTTAACTAAATACTTATATTCTAATTTTTTTTTTTTTTTTGAGACGGAGTCTCGGCTCTGTCGCGGAGGCTGGAGTGCAGTGACGCGATCTCGGCTCACTGCAAGCTCCGCCTCCCGGGTTCACGCCATTGTCCTGCCTCAGACTCCCGAGTAGCTGGGACTACAGGCGCCCGCCACCTCGCCCGGCTAGTTTTTTGTACTTTTTAGTAGAGACGGGGTTTCACCGTGTTAGCCAGGATGGTCTCGATCTCCTGACCTCGTGATCCGCCCGTCTCGGCCTCCCAAA